GTTTTTTAATTGTAATTCACTTTATTATTGAATTCTTTCTATTTTTTTTTCAAATAAATTATGTCTGTACGAATGAATTTTAGGAAAGCGGAATCTATTGGGAAAATGCAGCCGTTAGGTTCTAAAGAAACTGTTAGGATGAGGTAGGTGTCGAAACGCTTTGTTAACCAGGGCCGTCCCTAGGGTTGTCAGCGCCCGGGGGTAATGTAGTCGCGGTGCCCCCTCCCCCCAGTACTAGTCGCATTCGCATATGTTAGCTTCATACTACATTACGTTTACATTTTGATTACACCTATAGTGTTACAAATTATTGTTAACTATACAGCCTCATTTTTTAGATTCGTATTTATTAACGCCATAATCTGATAACCTTTACAACTCATGCAAACCTACAAGACCACAAACAAAATTTGCTGCGGCGCCCGGGCCAACTTGCCCCTGTTGCCCCCCCCCCCCCACCACCTTCGGACGGCCCTGTGTCAAGCTGTGGTTCATAATTATTGATTAAGCTCTTTTTTATGTCACAGGTGAGACAACAACGTTAGATAAACATAAAACCTTATAAATGCTAATTTAACAAGATTCACTGCCCATAAGGATTAAATTTTCATTCAATTTATTATATTTCTATTCAAGAATAGTTTATTTCACCTTCCCAATATTTATGTCGTGATATTATGTCGTGGCCCCTAGATCACCAGATTTTAGCGTGTGTAAATTTCTTCTGTGAGGCGTTCTCAAACTTAGCATCTACACTCACAAACCCTGTACTTAAGGACGCAATTAACCAGAAAGTAAAGACAATTAATTATTAATTATTAACCATTATTGGCCATTTAATTATTAATGATGGGACTTGTAATGAAAGAATGTAATAAGACAGGGATAAAAACTGTACGGACTAATTTTGTCACAACTGAAATCTAACTTAGTGCATTAAATCAATCATCTTAATACAACCAGACAAAGACCGAAAACTCGTTCAGTCTCGGGGGTTCGTGCAAACTATCCTGTTGCGTTGTGCGGTTGTTTAGAATCTACTAGAAATGTTTGATGTTGATAAGATTATCGAAAATGTTCACGGCCAGCTATCACTGTGGGACAAACAGGCATAATAATATTCTGATAGCATAGAATAGCATTCCTAAAATGCGTGTTTATTTTTGTTATCTGAGGCCTCATGATCTGAAGAAGCTCATCGAATGACTGGACTGACATTCGATAGTATAAAAAAACGTTGTCTCATGTTACCTGATGTTTTGTAAAACGTACGAAAACGTTCACCTGCATCACGTTCACGACAAAAAGGATGAATCCAATGACTTCTGTTATTTGTTCTTAGTAAACCACTTGCTTCCATTACACACACAAGTTTTATTAATAATATAAAAGGATTACATCACCCAACCACAGTTTCTGGTATGACAACCAGTTCGTCAGGTCATTGTATGCAACCACATAATCAATGTATTAACATTGTGGTATGTCAAAAGATTCTTTAAAATACTGTCAAAATCACAATAGTCAAAACTACTCATGTTGATCAAATTATAAAAAAAATAATAAAAAGTGATAAAACTGGTTAAAACTGTAAAGTCTGGCCAGTGGCCAGCACTGTTTATTCACTTGCAAATTGTTGCAAATGGATCTTGCAAATTGTTTTTTTACTTACTAAATACTATCATTGACCTTATATCTACACAATTAACCTTTTGATCTAATTTTATTTGATCAAATAGAAAAAAATAAATAAATGAAAGAAGATGGGTGAAAATTATGAGCTAAATGGAATCACAAGAACAAATAGTGAAATAAATAACTATGAAAAAAATATTAGGTGACATAAAAAGTGAAAAAAAATAATATTTATATAAATAAATAAATATATATAAATGATAATTATGCTATATTTAACCAAACTGTAAGAATTATTTAAATAGTTGATTGGGTTATTCATTTATTATGAAATGTTGTACAACGAGTATTCTATATCAGGAGATTGGGAAGCCAAACACTCAAGTCCCATTGCTAATAGCCGCCAGCAGCTTTCCTTGTTCACCAAAAAGTCTGTAGGAGCGCCACTAGTCAGACATCACTAAGTCCACACAGTTAATGTATTTCCTGTGAAAATTGTGTGGACGTGTGTGATGTCCACATAAGCGACCAGGTCCACACAGTCTGGTCACATTCACACTCATGTCCCCACAGCTTATGCAGCACGAAAGCACACACACACGCACACGCACAAACACACACACAAACTCACAAACTTTCAGATTTATAATATTAGTAAGATTATTTAAATTCAAGCCGTTGCGTTTATGAATTCTCTTGTCTAAGGACAGTAAATAAATAACATTTACCTTACAGTGTGTACAACGGTTGTTAATTTCTAAAAAAATTTGTTTTGATATAGAGCAAGAAGTTTTAATTTTGGGTAGGTCCTACAGAATGAAATATAAAATAGAAATCACAAGGTCATAAGGTTGATTTTGTTACTGGATGATTAGATAAAGATCTATATGATCGATGTTTTATGTTTTGTCGTGTTGGCCCTTGGGTAGTCTAAAGGTTCAGTACCGGTACGTAGTTTTAACAGAAGTGAAACAGCAATCTTTAAATATGACCCTGATGGCCATTGCCAGTAAATATTGGTTTATGATACCAATTGATACCATAGACAAATATGATACTCATCCTATCAAGCTGTTCAAATACGCTTCCTTCGCTTATTTTCATCTTGCAAGTAACTGCAATAGGTATACTAGGTATACACTTTTTGGGGATTTATATATAGGTTAATTTGATTTTTTTCGTGGTTTAGTCCAAGAAAAAAAGTAAAAACAACAGACACAGGGATCGTTAAAAAGATTACAAGAAAACATTTTATGGTTTTAGCGAATTTCCCTATAGGGAAGTAGCTATTACCGCAGATGGCACGGTAAGACCTCGGCCCGAGACCAATTTACTTTTTCATTTTGATGTTCTCAGAGGCCAAAAACACCATTCGTTCAAAATTTGTATATATATGAGTAAATAAATAATATAAATAAAAATTTGAACAGATGGTGTTTTTGGCCTCTGAGGTCATCAAAATGAAAAAATAAATTGGTCTCGGGCCTAGGTCTTACCGTGCCACCTACGGTAATAGCTACTCCCCTATAGGGAAATTTGCTAGAACCATAAAAAGTTTTCTTGTAATCTTATATATATATATATATATATACGTCCGTGAACGCGATAACTTGAGTAATTAATTTCTGTCCGAGTTTTAATAAATTTTGGTTCTAAGGTGTAAGGCGGGATAAACTTGAATGAGTTCGCGAACCAGCATGATCGGACCACGGGAATGGGGTTTTACGGGGAAAAATCTTTTTTCTCATTTTTGACCCTCAAAACACAAAATTTATAATTTCTCTCTAGACATTTTTAAAGAGCTTAAAAAATAGCTTAGTATATCAAAGTGTTTTATACGGTTAGTGGTACGGTAACGAAGAAAATTCAAAATATTTAAAATTTAAAATTCCCATGCTATTCTTATGGAGAATATTGTAAAATGTTGTAGTTTGCTTGTTTATGGATATACTATATTTTGATCAAACTTGGTAAATTTAATTATTTTATACTAAGCTATTAATATTTTACTAAAAAATACACTTTATTGGTTTCCGTAGCAGCAAACTTGGTAGGTACTCATTAAACCTAATGTTACTTAAATAGATAGGTTTAGTTGAAAATCAATCAGACAAATGGAAACAACATTCAGTTATTCATGGGCTTTAATTTGAGCTTTAGAACATTGACATCAGAACAGTTAGAGACGAGCGAAAAACCAAACATATAATCTTTTTATAAAAACTGATTTCTAAAAAAGTAAATTTAACATTGTGTTGTGGTTTGCACCTCGTCTCTAACTGTTCCGACTTCAATAATCTAAAGCTCAAATTAAAGCCCATGAAAATAACTGAATGTTTTAAGGCTAGAACGAACTGCAAGCATTAATAAAAACTGAAGATGCAAGAAAAATAATCTTAAAAAATGTTCAAAGTACGAAACGTCCATAAGAAATGTATGGGGATGAGTTTTCACTTAAATATATCTTCAACACGAAAAAAAATATTTAAAAACGGATTTTAGCATTGAAATCAGCGTGAAAATCTAGTTTATTTAAATTCTAGTTAGTTCTGGTTCTAGTTAGTTTAGTTAAATTATATTTTTGTAAGGTCATATCCTATATTTCTCTCACTAGTTCTACAAATTACCATATTATCAGAATAAAAAATAAAATGTCATCTAGAAATAAAGACCTTACTCACTTTTTTATTCTTTTCTTTTTAAACCGGAGAATTTTTTATGTTTATGTTGTTATGTTTAGTATTATTTTCATCTCAATGTTTTGTGTATGTTGCCGTCTATCTTTTAAAATGTTTACACCAGATTAATTTTTTCTAGATTTTGGTGTTTTGTACTTAGGTTAAAATTTGGAGGCAAATACGTTTACTGTCAGAAATGGTTTACCGACTTTAGATTCAGGATCTATTATTACTATTTTTTTATTCCCACTTGAGATGGGGACACCACCTCTATAACAAATTGTGTTTGTTATTACTTATTAATAAATACTGTAATGAGAAAATCATATTGAAACACTATATATTTATAAATTCAGTGCCTTTAAAGTTGAGGCAAAATATATAGCAGAACCAGTCGCTACCGGTTTATTGTAAAACGGGTAGACCAACATTATTTATTTTAATTACATGAACACTCGTATCATAATAACTGATGTGAAGTAATATTTTATTTTTAAATTATTCACACGTAATTTTACTATAAAGAGCTCCATGATATGATACTATTTGTTCGGTGACGTAACTCCAAGGCAGTGGCGGCGGAAGCGATAGCGAGAGTGTTCCATCCAAGGTCAAGGTCACCAGATTAGATGAACCTATGTTATGCTTGCTTGCCCCCCCCCCCCCCTAAAAGTAAATTATCAGTTAGCTGTGCTGTGATGACATGACGATTTTCGTCATTCCCTTGTTCTTGTTCTTGGTTCAGTTATCAACTTCATCCAAAACGTATCAATGCCGAGTGTCTCGTCTTGTCCTTTACAGTTTTCTGTCCTCCTCTATCGTATCGTATACAGTACTCAAGATCGACCAGAACCCTTTCAGAGTTTAGTTTAACAGTAGTTGGTCTTGGTTTGGTCTGGCTAGTCCACACTCACTGATCGTGGTCGGTCATTGATAGTAGATCATTGACTATATATAGTCAATGTAGTAGATGCTGTTGGTTCATGTCCTACACCTTCGTCACGCGCCGCTAACTTCTAACTTAAAAGTTGCCTATTTACACGGTGTAACATTATACTAACGTACATTTTTTTTGTTCCTACGTGTGATTAATAATATAGACTATAGTGATGTCAAGATTACGGACTCTAAATGATGTTATTCTTCCTCAAATTGCGGCCAGTGGTTGTTTGGGTGACAATGTGCATTTTGTGGAGTGTTTTTTGGAAGATAAAGTGAAAGGGGAGGCCCAGTTCGCTTCTACTGTAGTTTTTGTGGTCGCGGTCTTCCAGTCTGACGAGGGAACGTTTCAGCAGCCTCTAGTGGTAAAGTACAATATGGGTAATGCAGATGTCAGAAAATGGCTTAAGTTAGACTATCAGTTCAGAAATGAAGTCATTACATATGAAAAAGTACTTCCGTTTTTGAACAGGGACAAAAAGGTGAACAAAATATTTCCAAAGTACATCTATGGATCAGCAAATGAATCTGAGGATCCCAATGAATACATAATTATTTTAGAAGATCTGAGGTCGACAGCTTATAAGTTATCTCCAGAATTCCTTGACTTGGACTTTGATCACTGTGCTATGGCTTTTAAGAAATTAGGTGAATTTCATGCGTTGTCATTTGTTGCAAAGCAGCTCAACCCCAAAGCATTCTATCAGAACGTCAACCAACTTATTGAGACAAGACTATTTGATGACAACAAAGAGGATGCAAACGACCTCTACGTTTTATCATTCAACAGAGCGTCTGAAGAGCTGTTGAAAAACGGAGAGTTCATAGATGAAATAGTAGGCTTCAAAAACAAACTGAAATGTGATTCACAAAGTTATTTGAAACATCTGGTTACAGCTGAAGAACCGATGGCAGTGATTTGTCATGGTGATTTTTGTAGAAATAACATTTTGTACAAGTATGATCAGTCAGGAACCCCAGTGGATGTTAAGTTTTTTGATCTTGCCACGTCACGGTATTCATCACCCATGATAGATTTTTCATTTTTCTTCTTTTTAAACTCCAGCCAAGAATCAAGAAAGCAAAACAGAGAAAAATATCTAAGCATATATTATGAAGCACTCTCCTCGGCCGTTCCAGCTGAAGTAAAAGTTCCTTCTTTTGAGGATTTCAAAGAAGAGTTTCTACGTAAAGCGGTGTATGGATTTATGATTTCTATATTCTTCAAACCAGCAATGATGGATCCAGTTCCTTTCAACCCTGAGATTGAAGTCAGTCTACCAAGGGAAACGCGAGCTGCTAAACTTGTACAGAATGGAGGGCAGAAAGGCACTGAGGTAATTGTCAACATGTTGAGAGAAATATTAGAGTTGAAACTTGTCTTGTAAGACTAGACTACTGGTGTTACTAAATGCTGAATATATAAAAATATGTTTCAAAGCTTTCCAATCCAAACTTGTAGAGTTTAAATTTGTTATAAAATATATATTTAAATTTGTTATTGCTCTATATTTATATGGCAAACCTTTTCTTTTACCAGTATGTATACTGTATGTATTTTTCACCCTTAAGAATAGCAAATTCAAGTAAACATGTTTTTCTCTAGTCAATGTATCTTCTTGCACCTGCAGTTATTTCAAAAACTACTAACATAACCATACATTTTTTTAAGAAGCTGGTGATTCTTATGAAATATTCTTATGGTTATTACATGTATATCCAAAATAGGTTTGGGTCAGAATGAAATTCCTATTGGTAACTGAAGAGTTTTGTCCGCTTTGAGTTTTAAAAACTTGAATGATCCAACAAACAAGTATGTTTTTTGGTGTCTAGGCATATACCGGTATTAAGAAATTTGGTTTATGTCCTTTTCATTTCATCATATGTCATCTTAAACATTAATCACCAAGTAAATCCATTCCAAATCATCCAAAAATTGTTAGAAGAGAAGGTCACCATGCAAACATTTGGGAAACATAGTGTTATAATTTACACCAGACTCAAATTAAATAGTGGAGCCAGATACTAATTATCAGCTGCTGGGTTCAGTAGGGCATTCTCACTTCGGTAATTTATTCCACCTCACTTATTCACTGGCTGACGCTGTCATGATAATACCTTAAACACTATTAAAAGGCCTATAGTTCTGAAACATTTAATTCATTCACATTTTGTTGCTTTTAAAAAGGGTTGATTTTCCTTTTTCACAGCTGCTAGGTTTGTTTATCCTGCCAAATCATTATCCAGCATTGCCTTGGTTTCAAGACATGACGACAAAATAACAAAAAATTATTAACAAAATACTAATTGAAATGAATTAAAACAACATAATCTCCTTTAAAAAGTTAAAATTGTACGTTTTAAAGGTTGGTTTGAATATATGGGGTTTAAAGTTTTAATTAGGCTACAGCAGAAGACCTTATATGTGACCACCTTGGAACCGAGGCAGGATGATTTGGCAGGATCAACAAACCAACTGTAGAAAAGGTAAATCAACCTTGTTAAAATCAACATAATGTGAATGACTTTAATTGACCAAAAAATATAGTTCATCACACAGGCAAAAAGTGTCTTTTCAACCCTATTTAAGCTTGAGCTGGTGTCAAAAAGTGTCACTTTACGTTCCACTTTACGTACGTGGGAGTAATAAAATTTACTATTCTCTTGGTTTACTTATTTAAACATTTTTTAAACTAAGACTTCCTTTAAAATCCATAAACAAATGTATAAATGTATAAACAAATCTAAAAACAGTGTTGATAACCAATCAAAAACATCCACTAGTTCGCAGACACCAACCCACCCTTGCCCACCGAAATATAGACTGGCTGTCTAATAAAACAGAAAATTTTAAAATCTATATTTACATATACATATATATAATTTGTTTTAACGGTCCTCTTTCTAATTGAAATGACTAATGCGGGGAGATGTTTTACACAAACTGTCCAGTAGTGTAAAAAGTCTGATCTTTGTGATTGGAGGAGGGGTTTGCACCAGAGTTTACAACAAATAAATAAATAAATAAATCCTACTAATATTATAAATGAGAAAGTTTGGATGTTTGTGACAAGTGAACGCGAAAAATACTGTTCGGATTGGGCTGAAATTTGGCATGATGATAGCTCACATTCCCGATTAACATATAGGCATATTCTTATTTCAAAAATCCTTTCGGGCTCCACCCCAGTGGCTCTGGAGTTTCCTATGTTAACCTTATGAGAAATATAATTATTGAATCTTAACAGCTGTTTCAATTAAACAAGTTGGTTCTGTTCTATGATGTTCAATAGCATTAAAGTTACAAGGATTACCGACAGGGTGCAGCACTATTATTTCTTTTACATTTATGACAACAGCTAATTTGCAACCAAAAGGTGAGTGAGCGTAGCGAACGAACTTCAACTTGGAGGCGAGTGAGCGTAGCGAACGAGCTAACCTGAAGGCAAGTGAGCGCAGCGAACGAGCTCCAACCTAAAGGTGAGTGAGCTAGCGAACAAACTTCAACCAGGACGTGATTGAGCCATGCGAACGAGATAATCTTGAAAATTAAGAAGTTAAACGGGGCAAAGCCCGCGGGTTACAGCTAGTAAATAAATAAATAATTCTTTATTGTCACATCAACGTTTTAAATCATAGCACAGCTAAAAAACAGATGTCATTGTCAAGATTATTACTAACTTAACCTAATGTACAACAATATGTCTTATGCATAAAAAATGTTTGTAAACAAGTTGGCAAAATTTGTTAAACGATGACAGAAAAAAAAATTAGTTTCTATGTCATACAAAATAGAGTCATATTGATTGGTTAGTTTCATTGAGGTAATCATTAACACTGTAATGACAACAATCTAAAGAACGCTATTTAATTGTTGAAGCATTTCCAGGTTAAAGCCACAGATATTTTGTTTTCCTCATGAAGTCAGGAATATATGTTTACAGCACTTCTTTTAAGCTGGGTCTACACTGGAGTTCCCAACTAAATGTTTAAAATTTTGAGAACTCCAGAGTAATAACAGACATGAAGGAACAGAAAGTAGAACAATTTTTATCATCAGGGAAAGTGTTCCTGTAAGAAAGATAGGTAATGATTGGCTTGAGTGCAGAATTATGACTATTTGATGTCTTCGTTAACAATGCTTTATTCACACTTGAGAAAACATAAACTCTATAAACAACAAACAATAACAAATAACCTTTAAAAATAAATAAACTATTAGTTTTGGTTATACAATTCACATTTTTGTGTGATGCTAGGTTAATAAATAAACTAGGCCTACCCTGATTTGATGGAATGTTTATTAAATTTACCATTATTTGAGTATTAGTATCTATACAGGGTTAGTAAAAAGTGTGGTGACCCCCTGTTATTTTTTTAAAGGCCCATACTAGAAAAACTAAACTCGGCACACCTTTATGACATGTTATGAAGTACTTTTTGGGCATAATTGTCACTTGGTGTACATCCCCAAAATGGGGGATTTTGGAGGAAACTCAAAAATTTCAAATACAAAGACCCTTTGAGTATAATACTCTCTACATAATACTCTCTCTTGGTTCAGTACAGTGTGCATAAGACACACAAGATGTTCACTTAAGATGACATCTTGTACCTTTTCACACACACTGTACTGAACCAGCATGATGAGTGTTGTTTGCTTCTCTGCCCAAGCCTGCAGAGGCTATTTAAGCTGTATTTAAGGGTTGTAGAGGTATTCTGTGGTGTCCCAGACAGCTTATAAAGGTTAAACCAGCTGAAATTTAGTAAAACAGCTGAAGGATTAGCTAAAACAGCTGAAGAATGAGTTAAAACAGCTTAAATTCAGTTAAAACATGCCTTACAGCGTTTAAGGTCTAGTATAATAAATCTATGGCTATTTAATGCAACTCTTAAGGCTTAAAGGTCAAAGTATTTGAGCTCTTGTGTAGTTTATGATGGATAACACAGGTCTGATTAAGAGTTTGACATGTATTGGCTCAATAGAGTAGGTTACAAGAATTAAACTTTTTAACGCTTAAATATTCTCTTAACGACTAACTCTATGGGATTTAAAGTGTGTACACCAGTCTGATGTAGTATATAGAGTGTATAAGTGTAATCAGATGTAGTTTATCACCATAGGTTAGACTATATGTAGTGGTGAGGCATACAACAGATTTGAGAGTTGAAACTGACTAAAAAACTCTTTAAAACCTCAATTAATAGATGAGAGATACTTCTAAAGGCTTGCATGTGATATGTATAGCTCAGAAATCCACTATAGAACACAAATGTGGAGGTAAAACCTCACTGTGCAAGTATTTGTCACTTTGAGAGTAGATTTCTTATGACAGAGTCAGATATTTAATCACTCGCAGGCCAGTATAACTACCTTTAAAGTCATATCATGGTAAATAGCATCGTCTAACCTCATATAACTCTTGTAACCAACATACTGTATGAGTATATGGTGAAAAGTTCTTAGGTTTGAATGTTAAATCTATGAACAGGGCCAAAACAGAGCTACATTCTGGGTTACTCGTAGATTCTTTCCGAGGTATACTGTTTTGGCCCTATCTCAGTTATTTATCGACCGAATGTAACCGTTTTGGCTTTAAAAGTTGGTTATTTATATGGGGTTTTGAGTATAATACATCCCATCAGTTAAAATAACTTCATTTATGGTCTACACTCTAAGTTAGGCCTGTAAAAATGAAAGTTTCTTACCGAGTATACTAAAGTTGCAAATGTTCAACGATTGTAGACTATTGTCTGTAATAATTGTTAATTTATCATGATAGTTAGTTGATTTTATGTGTTATTCACTTCAAATTATGTTAGAACCTCTGGGTTTTCTATTTGTTTGGTATGTATCAACAACAGTTTGAACGCTGGAACTAAGCCTTACGATTGACTACAAGATTGGAAAATTCCACATATAATATGATTATTACTGATGGTGACAGCTTTTAAAGCTTAGTAAAACTATTTATTTAACGTATTTAGACAGTACAAAAGCCTAGCTAACCAACATAACCTAACAAACTCTGTTTTTAGTTAGCTCAAATTTCATCACTTGTAGGCTACTGGATACATTTTTAGATTGAAAAACTCATTTTAGAAGGTTTATTAACAACGTTTGAGGGTAATATCAGTCAAACTTAAGTCATTAAAGGCCTAAACAGATCAAATAATTCAACCCTAGGAGTGGTGTTATTGGTTGTTGACTTTAATTGAAGAAAATCAATTCACTCTACACATATCTAAAGCTTGATTATATCACTACTACCTACATATTACACAGTATTATGTATATATTATATCTAAACTCAGTTAATATAATAAAAGGTAGGAAAAGTGAAGGTAAATTTGTATTTTTATTTGATTTAAACACAGTTATACAATAGCAGACAATAAACTCACTCTAGTTCTGAAGCTGCTTGAATTGAAAAAAGATTGACTACAAAACAGCTGTAGAGTCAGGTTGACCACAATAGAATAAAATATTCCACTCGGTTGGATTTGGTAGTATAGTATGAATGTATGTAATAAACTTCTTTGCTTTCAAATGTCTAAAACTACTTACAGTGTATGCGCTTGTATTAAGCGCATACGGTAAAATTATTACCGTGACAAGAGTTCATACCAAAACTCCTACACTTTTATATGTATATATCTAGTCTAGAACTAATTCTACAGTAACTAAATGACAATATTGAAGGTTTAAAGTTGTATTCTTTCGAGTAAAACAGTTGTGATTATAAGAGAAGGTCAGCCTAGATTCAACACTCGTGGTATTTCTCAAGACTGCTGAATTGACAAACAGCTGGCTTCTTACAAATGCTGACATACGTTCGATTGGACTATAGCCCGTTTCACTTGACTTGGAGGCTGTAAAACTCTTAATTCTACCTAAAACAGCTCTAAACAGCTCTTAAAGAGCTCTAAAACAGCTCTAAAACAGCTTAATAGCCTCTGCAAGCTTGGGCAGAGAAACAAACAACACTCATCATGCTGGTTCAGTACAGTGTGTGTGAAAAGGTACAAGATGTCATCTTAAGTGAACATCTTGTGTGTCTTATGCACACTGTACTGAACCAAGAGAGAGTATTATGAGATTTTAAAAGATAAGCCCCATCGAGTGACCCCTCATTTTGAAGGTCCTGGTAAAAGAAAACCAACAAAGCAAACTAGAGGTCTTTATCTCAATCCAGTAAAAAATAGCAGCCAATTGAAATTCTCAGTAGTTAAATTTAACTTACAGCTTTCCAAGTCTGGAGACCCCCTGTAAATTTAGTAGCGGCTCACACTAGGAAAACTAAACTCTACACACCTTTTTGGCATGTTATGAAGTACTTTTTAAGCCTAATAGCCGCTTGCTTACCAAACCCAAAATGGGGGATTTTGGGGGAAACTCAAAAGTTTTAAATGATAAGCCCCATCGAGTGACCCTTCATTTTGAAAGTCCTGATAAAAGAAAACTAACAACGCAAACTAGAGGTTTCTATCTCAATCCAGTAAAATAAAAAATGGAAGCTGATTGAAATCTTTAGAAATCGGAAATAACTTGCAATTTTATATTCCATTGGCTGCCATATTTTACTGTGTTAAGACAGAGACCTATAGTTTGCGTTGTTAGTTTTCTTTTATTATGACCTTCAAAATGAGGGGTCACTCGATGGGGCTTATCTTTTAAAATCTTTGAGTTTCCCCCAAAATCCCCCATTTTGGGGTTGATAACTTATGAGAATTTCAATTGGCTGCCATTTTTTACTGAACTGTGATAGAGACCTCTAATTTGCGTTGATGGTTTTCTTTTACTAGGACCTTCAAAATGAGGGGTCACTCGATGGGTCTTTGTATTTGAAATTTTTGAGTTTCCCCCAAAATCCCCCATTTTGGGGATGAACACCAAGTGGCGGTTATGCCCACAAAGTACTTCTTAACATAATGGTGTGCCGAGTTTAGTTTTTCTAGTATGGGCCGTTAAAAAAATAACAGGGGGTCTCCACACTTTTTACTAACCCTGTATATTAATAGGCAAGCATGTTTCTTTAAAACCTTTTTTCTCATTACGTGTGCATCACAGGGAAAATCTACGCATACTGTTAGAAAGATATTTTCCTGCAGATGTGCAGAATCCCTTTATAAATTAAAATACGCTCAAAAGTAAGCACAACAAATGAATTTAAAATAATAAAAAAATTAACATGGTTCTTATGGGTTGCCATGCTGGTTACGAAATAAAAACGAAATATAAACAGAAAATCAAAACAAATGGAAGAAATTCCTGTCACATGTTTTATTTACAGTGTGGGTGAAAATAGAGAAGTCTGCACATTACATATTTTTGGTCGAGTTTCGACCACTGGACGACCTCTAGTAGTACCTAAGTTAATGTGTAGACTATATAAATCTATTCACATTACTTTGGTATTAATTTTTTAGAGTGAGGGCACACATGAATAGTTAAAGAATATGAGGTAAAAAATAAAATTCAGACATTACAACTTGTTCTACTGTCATTTTAGTTCATAAAATACATGAGTTTTTGTCTGTAGTTTATAGATTAAGTAGATTATCAACTATAAAATATAGAGTTGTTTTCATAAAACAAACATTATCCCATACAAATGTATTGTATACAGTATACTTATCTGTATCTTTTCCACACTGTTACACAACAAGTTTGTTTTAGTATCTTTTCTGAAGATTTATTAATGACCATGACCCAATCAGGCCTGCTCTCATAACATATCAATCTTTAGGTCAGAATACACTAAATTTACAGCACAAAACATTTGACTCAAAGTATAAGTGTTACACTACTAAAGCATTTCCAAGATTCTGTGGACCAATATTTTTAGATTTTTAAATCTACTGGTCTGGTATTGTTTATGAATTTGGTTAAAAGTAGTCTTAAACAAATTATTTGTTAATATGTTTGTAAAAAATACAAAGATTTGATAGTCTTGCAAAGTAACTTTGCCATACTATCTCATTCAACTATTTTAATATTTCAGTCCATTAATAAAATATTTCTTCTTTGATTAAAAAAGGTGTTTGTAGCTAGTATATCCCCGATTTTTAATCATTTAACATAAAATATAAATATACTTAAACAAACAACTAATAAAAAAATACAATAAAAATCAAGGTCGTGTTAAAAAACATGATAAACAAGTACAAGTATGTACTTAAATTCTAGTTAATTGATAACAAGTAATTAATTGAACAAGTTTACAAGTTTAAGTATAACAACTCAAGGTTTAAAATGTTGACTTTAATGAAGCCAATAGATTCATAGATGAATCTAATTAGGAACTAGCGAGATAAAACAAAAATATAGGAACTAAGTTAAAAGGGTAAAAGACCTTCATTGTATATTTGATCCCAGTGGATGCCTTCAAAAAAAGGATGAGACTTTATTTCTTCAACTCCAAGCAAACCAGAGCCAATTCGTTCACTCGCGTTGTGCCTTAGTAGCTGTAAAACATTAAATACCAAATGTATAATTTTTTAAATATGAGTAGAACAGATGAGATATTATTTTCACACCAAATTATAACTGAGAATAGGGTGAATTTGTTTTGCGTTGTTACTGATTTTGACCAGCTGATTAATTAACAAATTATTTATTAACAAGGTGATTAATTAATAAAGCTATTAATAAATAATAGTTATAAATTTATAATTTAAAAATAAAAAATCTTTTTAAAATGCCAAGTTTTTAAACACACTAAAGAGTAGAAAATAATTTATAAATATGAAGAGAGAATAAATACTTGTAAGATAAAAAAACAAGGGGCGCATGCAATAGCTAATCACGATTATCTTAACCTATAGAATTACAGTAGACTGCCTCTTATCCGGACACCTTTTAACCGGATATCGGTTTAACTGGACTACACTCGGTGGAAATGACATCTCTTTAACCGGACAATTCTTATCTGTACATTGGTTTAACTGGACTTGATCGGCAGGAAGTGGGCTGTACTGAAACGACTGTTCTCGTGGGAAAGATTAAGTTTTTTAAGTGGGAAGATTAAGTGGGAAAGGCCAGTGAGTTTTTAAGGAACCGGAAAACTGTTATCTGGACTGGTGTCGGTCCCGAGGAGTCCGGATAAGAGGGAGTCTACTGTATTATTATCTATTGCATGCGCCCCACGTTTTTTGTTTTAAATCTTACAAGTATTAATTCTCTCCGCATATTTATAAATTATTTTATACTTTTTAGTAAGTTACTTAATGTGTAAATATGTTAAATTTATTTTATATGGCCTGTTAATACATAACCAAAACCTTTTTAAAAGTAATCAGATATTGTTGCTAATATCATAGCCTAACCAACGTTTTAGCTATGATAATATTCTCATAATCATAAAACTTAGAAATTCTAAGTTTTAGACTCTCTTGGGAGCAGAACCTGTACCTCTTAACTTTTGCTCTTTGAACAAACTGTCAAATTAAAGTATTTACAGCTGACTCCAATTTATAAATTACTTTCTTCCAAAATGTAAACATTGAAACTGTGGAAGCCCATAGAGCGTACTAGGGGAAATATGAAAATAAAATTATTTAATATTGCATTGTCATCCATTCGTGAGCTATGTTTCAAGTTTCAAGTCTCTAGCTCACCAACAAGTTAGTTTAAAATTGATTGCAAAATATGTACCAAACAGACAAGAAAGTGAGCTGATAAAAACGTTTTAAAATAGCTAGTTGACAGTTATTGACACTATTCAGATGTACATACATATACTTGTTTTTATATTATATGAATTAAGATATTTTGATTTCATTTAATTTTTTAGCCAGGCTCAATAATATATATTGAAATATACGAAATAGTATATTTCGTACCTAGGACCAAAATAAGGTTTTGCCGACTCGAGATAGTTTTTAAAGCTCGATCGGGAGCTGCAAAACCATTTCGGTCTGTGGTACAAACACTATTTTTCACCAAACTATACCCTACTACCACTATTCACCACAATAATAAATGCACACTGATAGTCAACACAACTACAACTTTAAGAAGAAATAATTTGAGGAATCAGCAAAAATAATAACAAATTATATAGATAGTTGCTAGGCAGCGGTGACAATAAAACATTTCTATTGTATTGTAATGCTATGGATACTGATTGTGTATTTAATACATTACATTCATGTTTTAAGAAAGTAAGTGGGCAGCTGATTTTGCGGCCCTAGGGATGTAAAAAACTGCTCATAGCCCAAATGACGATGACAGCTAGCATGGCCAGCAAAACGTAACTTTCAGTCACCAATTAACACATGTAAAACAGCTAAAAACATCATAGTGTGGTAAAAAAATATTGAGGACCCATTAATTAATAACAGCTGATTCCATTTCCTTTATGAACCATCAAATAGTAAGTTATATTATGATTTTATTAGTAAATACCATCGATTCAACCTTTTGAGAGCTCTTTTGATATAGTGATAATAATGATTATTCATGAAAAAGCTTAGATGTTGGAGAGCAACTCTAGAAATAGGTAGTTTTACCTCTTTCAGCAGAGACCGGGCTTCCACAGATATGGTGTCTGGAATGTGTAGAACTGTGTGACAGAAGATACCTCCCGGGTAGAGGGAACTTAGGTCCTGAAACCATATAAAAAATTGACAATAACTCTACAATACCAACATTGACTATGGTAAAAGAGGCCCAAGTGATCTTGTTGTGTTAATAGTACCAATTGCAGGAAAATTGACTGAATGTTAAGAGTCTTCATCACCTGCGGGGTAGCTGCGTTTTGGGGGAGGAGGACATTGTGTAGACGACATGTTACACCTACCTGGCCAGTGAGGAGGTGGTACAATAATGTCCCTAGGCTCCACCAGTCTGCAGCTTGGGTGATGGGGAAGATGGAACACAACTCAGGGGCTGTGTACAGATGGTTGATGGCTTGTGTGCTCAGCTGAGGCTCTACAGGGCTACAACATGTTACACCTACCTGGCCAGTGAGGAGGTGGTACAACAATGTCCCTAGGCTCCACCAGTCTGCAGCTTGGGTGATGGGGAAGATGGAACACAACTCAGGGGCTGTGTACAGATGGTTGATGGCTTGTGTGCTCAGCTGAGGCTCTACAGGGATACAACATGTTACACCTACCTGGCCAGTGAGGAGGTGGTACAACAATGTCCCTAGGCTCCACCAGTCTGCAGCTTGGGTGATGGGGAAGATGGAACACAACTCAGGGGCTGGGTACAGATGGTTAATGGCTTGTGTGCTCAGCTGAGGCTCTACAGGGCTACAACATGTTACACCTACCTGGCCAGTGAGGAGGTGGTACAAAAATGTCCCCAGGCTCCACCAGTCTGCAGCTTGTGTGATGGGGAAGATAGAACACAACTCAGGGGCTGTGTACAGATAGTTGATGGCTTGTGTGCTCAGCTGAGGCTCTACAGGGCTACAACATGTTACTCCTACCTGGCCAGTGAGGAGGTGGTACAATAATGTCCCCAGGCTCCACCAGTCTGCAGCTTGGGTGATGGGGAAGATGGAACACAACTCAGGGGCTGTGTACAGATGGTTGATGGCTTGTGTGCTCAGCTGATGCTCTACAGGGCTACAACATGTTACACCTACCTGGCCAGTGAGGAGGTGGTACAACAATGTCCCTAGGCTCCACCAGTCTGCAGCTTGGGTGATGGGGAAGATGGAACAAACTCAGGGGCGGTGTACAGATGGTTGATGGCTTGTGTGCTCAGCTAAGGCTCTACAGGGCTACAACATGTTACACCTACCTGGCCAGTGAGGAGGTGGTACAACAATGTCCCCAGGCTCCACCAGTCTGCAGCTTGGGTAATGGGGAAGATGGAACAAACTCAGGGGCTGTGTACAGATGGTTGATGGCTTGTGTGCTCAGCTGAGGCTCTACAGGGCTACAACATGTTACACCTACCTGGCCAGTGAGGAGGTGGTACAACAATGTCCCCAGGCTCCACCAGTCTGCAGCTTGTGTGATGGGGAAGATGGAACACAGCTCAGGGGCTGTGTACAGATGGTTGATGGCTTGTGTGCTCAGCTGAGGCTCTACAGGGCTACAACATGTTACACCTACCTGGCCAGTGAGGAGGTGGTACAACAATGTCCCCAGGCTCCACCAGTCTGCAGCTTGGGTGATGGGGAAGATGGAACACAACTCAGGGGCTGTGTACAGATGGTTGATGGCTTGTGTGCTCAGCTGAGGCTCTACAGGGCTACAACATGTTACTCCTACCTGGCCAATGAGGAGGTGGTACAACAATGTCCCCAGGCTCCACCAGTCTGCAGCTTGGGTGATGGGGAAGATGGAACACAACTCAGGGGCTGTGTACAGATGGTTGATGGCTTGTGTGCTCAGCTGAGGCTCTACAGGGCTACAACATGTTACTCCTACCTGGCCAGTGAGGAGGTGGTAAACAATGTCCCCAGGCTCCACCAGTCTGCAGCTTGGGTGATGGGGAAGATAGAACACAACTCAGGGGCTGTGTACAGATGGTTGATGGCTTGTGTGCTCAGCTGAGGCTCTACAGGGCTACAACATGTTACTCCTACCTGGCCAGTGAGGAGGTGGTACAACAATGTCCCCAGGCTCCACCAGTCTGCAGCTTGGGTGATGGGGAAGATGTAACACAACTCAGGGGCTGTGTACAGATGGTTGTTGGCTTGTGTGCTCAGCTGAGGCTCTACAGGGCTACAACATGTTACTCCTACCTGGCCAGTGAGGAGGTGGTACAACAATGTCCCCAGGCTCCACCAGTCTGCAGCTTGGGTGATGGGGAAGATGGAACACAACTCAGGGGCTGTGTACAGATGGTTGATGGCTTGTGTGCTCAGCTGAGGCTCTACAGGGCTACAACATGTTACTCCTACCTGGCCAGTGAGGAGGTGGTACAATAATGTCCCCAGGCTCCACCAGTCTGCAGCTTGGGTAATGGGGAAGATGGAACACAACTCAGGGGCTGTGTACAGATGGTTGATGGCTTGTGTGCTCAGCTGAGGCTCTACAGGGCTACAATATGTTACTCCTACCTGGCCAGTGAGGAGGTGGTACAACAATGTCCCCAGGCTCCACCAGTCTGCAGCTTGTGTTATGGGGAAGACGGAACACAGCTCAGGGGCGGTGTACAGATGGTTGATGGCTTGTGTGCTCAGCTGAGGCCCTACAGGGCTACAACGTGTTATACCTACCTGGCCAGTGAGGAGGTGGTACAACAATGTCCCCAGGCTCCACCAGTCTGCAGCTTGTGTGATGGGGAAGATGGAACACAGCTCAGGGGCTGTGTACAGATGGTTGATGGCTTGTGTGCTCAGCTGAGGCTCTACAGGGCTACAACATGTTACTCCTACCTGGCCAGTGAGGAGGTGGTACAACAATGTCCCCAGGCTCCACCAGTCTGCAGCTTGTGTGATGGGGAAGATGGAACACAGCTCAGGGGCTGTGTACAGATGGTTGATGGCTTGTGTGCTCAGCTGAGGCTCTACAGGGCTACAACATGTTACACCTACCTGGCCAGTGAGGAGGTGGTACAACAATGTCCCCAGGCTCCACCATTCTGCAGCTTGGGTGATGGGGAAGATGGAACACAGCTCAGGGGCTGTGTACAGATGGTTGATGGCTTGCGTGCTCAGCTGAGGCTCTACAGGGCTACAACATGTTACTCCTACCTGGCCAGTGAGGAGGTGGTACAACAATGTCCCCAAGCTCCACCAGTCTGCAGCTTGGGTGATGGGGAAGATGGAACACAACTCAGGGGCTGTGTACAGATGGTTGATGGCTTGTGTGCTCAGCTGAGGCTCTACAGGGCTACAACATGTTACTCCTACCTGGCCAGTGAGGAGGTGGTACAACAATGTCCCCAGGCTCCACCAGTCTGCAGCTTGGGTAATGGGGAAGATGGAACACAACTCAGGGGCTGTGTACAGATGGTTGATGGCTTGTGTGCTCAGCTGAGGCTCTACAGGGCTACAATATGTTACTCCTACCTGGCCAGTGAGGAGGTGGTACAACAATGTCCCCAGGCTCCACCAGTCTGCAGCTTGTGTGATGGGGAAGATGGAACACAGCTCAGGGGCGGTGTACAGATGGTTGATGGCTTGTGTGCTCAGCTGAGGCCCTACAGGGCTACAACATGTTACACCTACCTGGCCAGTGAGGAGGTGGTACAACAATGTCCTCAGGCTCCACCAGTCTGCAGCTTGTGTGATGGGGAAGATGGAACACAGCTCAGGGGCTGTGTACAGATGGTTGATGGCTTGTGTGCTCAGCTGAGGCTCTACAGGGCTACAACATGTTACTCCTACCTGGCCAGTGAGGAGGTGGTACAACAATGTCCCCAGGCTCTACCAGTCTGCAGCTTGTGTGATGGGGAAGATGGAACACAGCTCAGGGGCTGTGTACAGATGGTTGATGGCTTGTGTGCTCAGCTGAGGCTCTACAGGGCTACAACATGTTACACCTACCTGGCCAGTGAGGAGGTGGTACAACAATGTCCCCATGCTCCACCAGTCTGCAGCTTGTGTGATGGGGAAGATGGAACACAACTCAGGGGCTGTGTACAGATGGTTGATGGCTTGTGTGCTCAGCTGAGGCCCTACAGGACTACAACATGTTACACCTACCTGGCCAGTGAGGAGGTGGTACAACAATGTCCCCAGGCTCCACCAGTCTGCAGCTTGTGTGATGGGGAAGATGGAACACAGCTCAGGGGCTGTGTACAGATGGTTGATGGCTTGTGTGCTCAGCTGAGGCTCTACAGGGCTACAACATGTTACACCTACCTGGCCAGTGAGGAGGTGGTACAACAATGTCCCCAGGCTCTACCAGTCTGCAGCTTGTGTGATGGGGAAGATGGAACACAACTCAGGGGCTGTGTACAGATGGTTGATGGCTTGTGTGCTCAGCTGAGGCTCTACAGGACTACAACATGTTACACCTACCTGGCCAGTGAGGAGGTGGTACAACAATGTCCCCAGGCTCTACCAGTCTGCAGCTTGTGTGATGGGGAAGATGGAACACAGCTCAGGGGCTGTGTACAGATGGTTGATGGCTTGTGTGCTCAGCTGAGGCTCTACAGGACTACAACATGTTACACCTACCTGGCCAGTGAGGAGGTGGTACAACAATGTCCCCAGGCTCTACCAGTCTGCAGCTTGTGTGATGGGGAAGATGGAACACAGCTCAGGGGCTGTGTACAGATGGTTGATGGCTTGTGTGCTCAGCTGAGGCTCTACAGGGCTACAACATGTTACACCTACCTGGCCAGTGAGGAGGTGGTACAACAATGTCCCCATGCTCCACCAGTCTGCAGCTTGTGTGATGGGGAAGATGGAACACAACTCAGGGGCTGTGTACAGATGGTTGATGGCTTGTGTGCTCAGCTGAGGCCCTACAGGGCTACAACATGTTACACCTACCTGGCCAGTGAGGAGGTGGTACAACAATGTCCCCAGGCTCCACCAGTCTGCAGCTTGTGTGATGGGGAAGATGGAACACAACTCAGGGGCTGTGTACAGATGGTTGATGGCTTGTGTGCTCAGCTGAGGCCCTACAGGGCTACAACATGTTACACCTACCTGGCCAGTGAGGAGGTGGTACAACAATGTCCCCAGGCTCCACCAGTCTGCAGCTTGTGTGATGGGGAAGATGGAACACAACTCAGGGGCTGTGTACAGATGGTTGATGGCTTGTGTGCTCAGCTGAGGCCCTACAGGGCTACAACACGTTACACCTACCTGGCCAGTGAGGAGGTGGTACAACAATGTCCCCAGGCTCCACCAGTCTGCAGCTTGGGTGATGGGGAAGATGGAACACAACTCAGGGGCTGTGTACAGATGGTTGATGGCTTGTGTGCTCAGCTGAGGCTCTACTCCAGGAAAACTACAAAAGTATGTCAGACGCACCGTGCTGCCACTCACTAACACATTCTCTGGATTCAAGTCCCTGCAAGTATTTTTTGTGGTCAGTTATTATAGCTATTATTCTTACATTAAGAACATTTTCAACTTTTGGAAGAAAGGCATATTTCATATACTTTTGAACAATTTAAATACTCCCGCCACAGCAAACCTGCAGACTAAGCAAATGAATTTTGCCTGATTTGATTTTTACTTATATCTATTAAAATCTTACACATTAGGTTTCATGAGTACCTATGTTTGCCAATCCAGTTATGGTAATAAAGTGTGTTTTTAGTCAAATAATAAGAGCTTAGCATAAAATAAATAACTTTGATCAAAATATATCTGTAAACAAGTAAACCTTAGCGGTTTGCTTATTCTACATGAGAATAATATGGACATTTTTTTATTTCTCCCTGTAAACAATAACTATACACACACACTTTAATATACTAAACGTAGGTAGAATAAACGTAGGTTTTAAACATTTGTACCGAGTTTCATGAAAATCAGATCATTTTTGCTTGAGTTATCGTGCTAACGGGCACACATATATAGAAATCCATCCAAATTTCCTGGCAGTTAACCTCCTCGATAATAGTGAAGCTACATATTGGCTCAAAAGAGTTAATCCAATAGACCTTCCAAATCGTTTTTAGTTCAATTTTTTTAAAGTTTTTGTATGTTAGTGCACTTGATGGAGTGTATCTAACTCATGTTAAAATGGCAGTGATATTTACTTATTGTTCTATTATAGAATAGATTGTAAATAAAACTTGTTAAAAAAAAAAATATATATATATATTTTTTAGTTTTAGGTGTACTTGCCGTCTACTCCTCAGTCTTCATTTAACTGATAGTCTAAGCTTTTTATGATGTAGTAAAACTTGTTTTATCTGTGAATAGGTGGTAGAATGATCATTTATGTACTAAAAAATTTTTTTTTTTTTCAAGCAGATAAAATGAGATAAAAATATATGTATTGCTAGTATTGGATAATGTGAGGAGTAAATATCACCTTCTTCAGCAAAAACTAAAAGTCTCAATAATAATGGCCTCAGCTAGGCAGGGTGACTACGAATGCTGTAACCTGTGCTTATGTGAATTAAGATAGACAATAGACAATATCCTTTATTACAATTTCATCAAGAAAAATGTTACAGCGTCAAATTTAAATAAATAACATTGGTATAATAGATACAAAGTGAAATGGAAAAGCTTCTTCAGTGTTGTGTGTGGTCTTGCCATGCTAAGAACACCTTTAGGGTGTTCTTATAGTTGATCTATGTTTCTGTTTGCTGTAAGCAGCACAGTGTCGTTTGCATACATGACCATCTTGCTGTATTCCTCAAGGTGTTCTGGGAAGTCATTAATAAACAGCCCAAACAGAACTGGCCCTAGGACAGAGCCCTGGGGAACTCCTCTGTTAGTCAGTAGCAATTCAGATCTGAAAGTATCTGTAAACCCTTTTCCCCTTTTGTTGTGTTTTTTATTTCTACCATTTGGCTTCGCCCTTTTAGATAACTTGCAAACCATTTCAGAGCTGTTCGCTGGATTCCTAAATTTTGAAGTTTAGTTAGAGTAAGATCATGTCCCAAGGAATCAAAAGCCTGCCATTTTGTTGTTGCCATTTTCTAAGTTCTCAATTATAAAGATGAAGCCAGGTTTTGGGAAGACACTAATTATTACAGTTCACCTTATGTGTAAATTTATAAAAGAGGAAGTTTGTTTAATAACTAATTTTTGATAGTGTGTGAATAAGGAGTTTTATTTTTTAAGTGCGTAATTCATTAACTTATTGACTTTCTTTAAAAAAATGTATATACAAACCTATTGTATTTGTATGGTTTATTTCAAAAAAAAAATGTCTTAGAAACAATCCGAAAATAGACTATGAAGGAGATAGCTCGGCGGCGATAGGTACCATGACGTTCAAATAATGTAAGTACTGCGAAGCCTTAAAATGGAAAGAATAAACACCGGGCATGTACTGCAATGGTGGTAAAGTGCAGCTACTACCTTTGCAGCACCTACCTAAACCTGTATGCAGTCTGGTCATGGGCAACTACCCTGAGCATACACACTTTATGGACCCGGTGAGACATTATAATAGCTGCTTTATTATGACATCGATTGGAGCAAAACAGGTTGTAGCTGAATTGTTGACTGAAGGCTGTTGGAACTTATACACTAATTTATTACAAAAAAAAACAAAAAAACAAATCCAAAAGTTTCCGTAGCAAAGCACGGGTATTCTGCTAGTATACTGTATATATATAGGTACAGTGATATACCGTAAATTAGTACAATAAAAATATGTTTTGACCAAAAAAAAAAATAGCACAACCGGGGAATTTGGTACAGGTGTTGGGTGTACCTTCCTTTTGAACATACTAAAAGTCCCCTAAAATTGAAGCTGTGCTACGGCCGCCATATTGGAAAATGGCGGCATATTTCTGTATTTTTCGCTATAGTGACTTTATTATTAGAGATACAGGAAAAAGCTAAATATACAAAATGTAGGTCATCTAAAAATACACATTTTTTTGTATTTACCATCTTTCTCTAAACCCAACGGTTTTTGAGTTATTTGTTATTAAGTATATTTAGTTTTTTCTATTTATCAAAAATAGGTGAAACACATGGAAATTGACCGTTACTTTCAAGGATTATGATAATTTATCCTATTTAGTTAAATAGTGTGATACTATAAAATCTAAAAATTTAAGCTTATTTTATGAGTAAAACAACTCCGCCACAGCAAACCTACAGACTCAGCAAATTTCCATTTGATTGGATGTTTTATTAAAAATGTATATAAATAAAATTAGGTTCAACAGGTGCCTAGGTTTGCTGCTACAGGTAGGTTATTATAGTGTGTGTGTTTTTTAGTAAAATATCAATACCTTAGTATAAAATAACAAATTTTCCAAGTTTGATCAAAATATATATCTATAAACAAGCAAACTGTAACAGTTAACTAATTCATAAGAATAGCATGGGAGTTTTAAATTTACAATAAACAAATTTGAATATACAAATTTTGGTTGTGTTTACTAAAAAGATGGTGATTATTCGTCACGATTAGAATATTAACCAAATGGGTTTTCAAAAGGAGATGGAGCCTGTTATTTAAGTAATATTAATTCGTACCAAGCACCGAAAATATTGTATGCAGTAAGGTAATCTACCATATTTTGTAAAGTACGCAATAGTCATATTAATATTTTATCTTCATTTTTTACCCATTTAATAGTTAACATTTTAGTATTTTGATGGCACCACCACACTAACTAACTATACTTGACATCTCATTGTAAATTTGGAAGGGTGTTTTTCGATGTTCATGTTGGTGACTAATTAAGTATGATATAGTATAGTTAGTTTTATTTATCAAAAATCGGTGAAACCCATCGCAATCGACGGTTACTTTCAAGGTTTACGACAATTATTCATCCCACTTAGTTGATATCAGAGTGATAGTGGTAGTGCCATCAAAATATTAAAATGTTAATTTATTAAATGGGTAAAAATGAGTATAAAATATTAATCAAATCAAATCAAATCAAAACATCCTTTATTCATTATGTACAAAATATACATGAATAGTGTCAATTCCTAAGAATACCAACATAAAAATAATATAAATAAATAAGCCGTACAACACTCAACGGAAAAAGTCATTGAGCTTATAGCAACACTTGTTACATAAAAACTTAAATAAACTCTTTTTAAATGACCTGAGGGAAGATGCAGACTTAATGCAATCAGGCAGGTTGTTATAAAATTTAATACCAGAGTAGTGGGGCAAAAGTTCAAAGGTAGAAGATTTGTGTTTGGGATATGTAAGGCAGTCTTTGTGTCTTGTGTCATAATTGTGGTTGTCTGAACTAACAGAAAATTTAGAGATGTTTTGTTTCATAAAAATTAGTAAATTATAGATGTAAAGGCTAGGAAAAGTAAGAATGTTATTGATTTTAAATATATCTTCACATGAATCTCTACTTTTGAGAGAATAAATTATTCTAATGATTTGTTTTTGCAATTTAAATACCTTTTTCTTTTTGTCAGAATTGCCCCAAAAAATGATTCCATAATTAAGAATAGGATAAACATACCCATAGTACACCATCATAAGAGTGGAGACATCTACTGATCTAGATAAAATAAGAATTGAAAAATATGCTTTGTTCAACTTTTTTATAACTTCTGCAACGTGAGTTTTCCAAGTTAATTTATTATCTAAAGTTATCCCTAAAAATTTGGTACATTCAGAAAAACAGCATGGTATAGTGGTGTTATCATATTGAAAATTTTTATTGTGGTATCTTTTTTGAAAGTTGATTAAAAGTGACTTAGAGTGATTCAATAATAGCCCATTAGCTTGAAACCAAATTTCTAGCTTATAGAATTCTTGTTTTATCAGTTGTGGAAACCTTGATTTGTCAGGATGGGTAAATATTGCAGAAGCGTCGTCAGCAAACATTACTAATTTGGAATCTAAGGCCATAGGCAAGTCATTTATATAAATCAAAAATAGCAAGGGTCCAAGAATAGACCCTTGCGGAACACCTTCTGTGATGAATTCATAATCGGACTTAAGCCCCAGTGACTGCAGCCTTATACACTGTTTTCTATGTGATAAAAAAGAAACCAACAATTTAATAGTCCTGCCCGATATACCATAAAACTGCAACTTACGGATCAGGATATCATGATTTACACAATCAAATGCTCTTGACAGGTCACAGAAGAGACCAGCTACATTCTGCGAACTGTCAAGAGCATCCGCTACCTCAGATACAAAGCTAAATGTGGCATCTACAGTGCTTTTACCTTTCATGAATCCATACTGATTTATGTTAAAAAGTTGACAATTGTTAAAGTAATCATATAACCTATTATAAACTACCCTTTCAAAAATTTTGGAAAATTTCGCCAGTAATGAAATTGGCCTATAATTAGCTAAATCTTTTGGATCTCCTTTTTTTAAAATTGGTATTACGTTTGACAGCTTTAATAAATCTGGGAACACACCTGTAT